CCCCAAAACCCCAAAACCCCAAAACCCCAAAACCCCTTTTTGCATTATTTAGGAATTTTAAAGCTATTTCTTTGTATGATGAGGGATTAATGGAGAGCGTTCATAGTTAACCTTATCATGACGAGGCTTCCTCTTCCGCCTAGTGCTCTGTACAATAGAGGATACTTCAGTGCTGAATCTGTTAACACTGCGCTTTTTGGGATATTTCACTTTTGAATAATCCTTAACTGGAATTGATGGTGACAACTCTTTTGAATCAAATTGATAAAGCTCCGGATTGTGTATATCCTGAGCAGCCCTTATGGCTTTTATCTTAGAAGGGATTTTTTGTTTTTCGCGCTTCTTTCTCTCAATATTTTTATTTTTCTCAGATAAAGTAGCCTCCTTTTTAAGCTTATAAGCAGAAGTAGGCTGGTACAGCCTACTTTTGATATTACTGTCTAAATATGAGAGAATTGTCTTACATTTCCTGCTGGTTCCTCCAAAAGACATTGAATTTGAACTGTCTTTAGAAGTAGATCTTAAATGGTCATTCAATGACAATTCCCTCATGTTTTTATCAGGTTTCACTCAGTTCAAATGAACAGATACTTCCTTCACAAATGCTTTCTTTTGGTTAAACAACGAGGTGTTATATTTCCCCTTGATTTCGTTACTACAGTATAACTTAGAAGCCTTACGCAAATGATGATTTTTCACCCTTGCTTTGTGCTGTACTCCCGATTGGGATCATCGACTGGACTGGGGATTTTTCTGAGTCTCTCTTACTGAGATCTAGAAATAATCAATGAGCAATACTGATTGTGTAATGAACATTAGTCGAAAAATTACTTGGATCTTTCTTATCACATTTCATGGTCTGAGGCTCACTTTCCATGTAATATGGATTCTTTTGTTTAAAAGCGAGAGTATCATTTTTGTAGTGTAATAAGCTTGGTGAAGTTACTTCCTTCCGAACACTGCTTGAAACCTTTCAATTAGTTTCGCTAAGATCAGAATTTTGCTTGGATCCAGCTGTTAGAGGCTAAAAATTAAGATATGTTATATACCATCCTAAGCCTGCTTCTCTTAGATTCAGAGTTGTTCCGATCAACTGAAGAAACTATATAGTACAGTAAGGAACTTTCCCAAAGATAGAAGAGAGGTTTCTTATTTCGAAGAAATCTGAGCTTCATATTAAATACCTTTAGCTTTTAAGCTTAAAATTTCTCTTATTGGATTCTGTAAAGGATTCCTTGCCATGGCATCAACGGCTGTCTTCTCTGCTAATATAAAAGAGTCAAGCTCTTCCTCATTTTGTTCTACTTGAACTGGAGACTCGTCTTCTTTTTGTAATTTGGTTTTGAGTTCATGAAGTTTGCTCTTGTCAACTTTACTAATAATCTTCCTAAGACTTTTATTTTCTTTCTTTAAAGTCTCGTTTTCCGTATTCTTCTCATTCAGGTCGTTCTTAAGATTAGCAATGATAGCTTCAAGGCTTCTGATATACTCTATATGCGTGTCTGGATTATCGCCTAGGACAACCTGGGTGACCACATGTGACATATACATGTTATTAAGCGGGCTTTTGCCTAAAATATTTATGAAAGTGCATTACCAAGCTCCAGATCGCCTTGAAGTCCTGCACCCTTAATAGTGCTATTATGGTTGACTCCTCGGAGTCTATTTCCTGACATATAGCTCCTCATTTCGAGTTTGTTCTTGGAAGAACTTGTATGAGAAGTATTATCCTGACCTTCAGAGTGAAAGTCTACAATACAAGATTTCTCAATCTTCTTCTGTGGAGCAGGGATCAATTTATTCCTGAGGTGATTATACACCTTTGAAATTGGCCTTTCACAAGAATTGCTACAGTTTGCCTGAAGTCTGTGTGGCTTTGGTGGCTTGTCTAGCGAAATTTCTCCGCTACTTGTTTTCACCTGAGAAAGCCTGCTTTCGCCTAGAGTTAGGTTAGATGAGATATTCGAATGCATTACTGCAGAAGTTTAAATACAAGCTAGCCAAATAGATAACTCTTTTTTACTTTCTCACATATCATTCAAAACAGTGAGGAAATACTGCAAAGTCATATGGACATATTTTTCTGATCTTTATGAGGAAAGTTTGGGTTAAGAATAAGCCTCAAATCTTCGAATTACCTTTACAGTCTAGTGAGAGAGAGGTGTTTGCAATTTCAGCAAAACTTCCGCTCAGGATTAGGTGATGTATTGGCTCTGTCAATCTTCTCTGGGTATCAAATTCATCAGTTCTAATCTTAATGGCAAGAACACTATCCTCAATTTCTCCATAAGGTCGATCTGAAATAGTGCTAAACAAAGTTCCTACTAAGGGATGGGATAGGTTGTAATCAATAACCTGAGGAGGCAAAATTTGATCTTCCATATTAAATATTAACAATATTTTATCCTAGTGGTGGGGTTTTGGGGTTTTGGGGTTTTGGGGTTTTGGGG